ACAAAACATATTTCTCCAAAATTCTTTTTCACTCATGACCTTTTGAAGAGCAGTGATATAGATATTCAGCAAATTCGCTCAAGTGACAATCTTGCAGTTTTTTTACTAAGACATTGCCAATTTCAGCATTTGAGAATTTAGTGTATGGTATTGTAATGTGCATATTCAGAGACATAAAGTGATGGTATCACTAAGGGGAGTGAAGTAATATTGTTATTAGGGGGAGACTATAGGGAGTAAATATCATTTTGTACTCTTTTTTCCTTTCTAAAGTTTTGTGCCAATGGGTTTTCCTAAAAAAGTTTTGAATGATGCAACTTTAATGAGTATTTAAAAATATTGTGTACTCTTTTTCCTTCACCAGGTTTTTATCCCATTGAGTTTTTCCTAGTAAGGTTTTAATAAGGCATAATATTTCTTATGAACATCCAAGGGAGAATATTATGAATATTATATGATTATATGAGTGGATACCCATAACTTTTAATGCTTAGGATTTTTCATCTCCCATAACTTCCTAATAAATGACTTAGAAGGAGTTTCTCAAAGTTAATGCCTTATAAACTCTAAAGGTTACATACCATGCTATTGTGTCCTTTTTTATTCATTTATAACATTAAAGTTAGACTTAAATAACCGAAAGCCTAAAAATAAAGGTTACATATAAAGCACTGTATATCTAAGTGAATGAACTATACTCTATTATTTTCTCTCCCAATTCTTCTTATCTTGCTATTCTCTTTTCTTTCACTCTTTTTTCTTATTTTCATAACAATAACATATATATAGTACATGTTAATCTTTTTAATTAAATAGTATTGAATTAATTATCATTCAAATTATCTATTTGTATGAGTATGTATTTAATGTTTTTGTCAATCAAATTTGAACACAGTATCAATAAATAATAATTTAAATTTATCAAACATTTAGTTTTCAATGCATGTATTGTTTTTTCTTTATAAAACTTTATTATTATCTATCCTAATTTTTTTGTTTGAAACAGCAATACCCAAATACAGATGAAAACATACCTATAATATAAACACTTTTAACTTATAAATTTATTTCAAAAAGTAAATAAAATAAATATTTAAAAATTATATATGTATACATATTTATTTTATAAAAAATTTGGCCCCCCTCATTTGTAAGTGTGGTTCTGCCACTGGGTATTGGTAACCAATAGTCAATTTGAACTTCTTCATGCAAGCATGGATTATACAAAATATTGAAGTGGAAATTTAAGACATATATATATAGTTTGTAAAAGAAATTTCCAAAATGTAAACCCTAAATTTATCAATCTCAAATCATCAACCTTATAATCTTTGATATTTTTGACTAGATCTAAGATTACTTGTAAATTGTAACTTGGGTAAAGAGTATAGGACTCTCTTTGGATTGAGGGTCCCTTCTACCCAAATCTTAGTTAAAGGACAAAGACAATGTCAAGGGCCTAAACAAGAGTCAACCATACAAATCCTAGTTAAAACATGTTATATCCACTTAACTAAGGGGTTTTTCATAACATATATGAATCATTCATTCCCAAAACAATAATCCTTCCAACATTACATACTCTTGTACATTAAAAGATAATAAGCTTACACGTAACCCAAGTCAAGCACACAACTCAAATTAATCTACATAATTGGTAATATACTTATCAATGATAATGCAATTAAATGGAATATATAACTTAAAACCCCTAATCTTCAAATTAAAATTCTAAATCTCATTTACAACTCCTAATTCACCAATCTAACATCAACTCCAATCATCCCTCGAACTACTCGACTCAGTTGAATTATCAATTAACAATCAAAACATCAAATTATACAAAATCCTCAACTGCCAATACTTGGGGTTCCATTAAAATTCTCAAATTTAAATCAAAGCTCAATTCCACAATTCTAAATTGAATAAATCTCAATTCTAGTTTAGATATTTATAACCCAATCATTAAATTCACATTTAAATGATTAAAACATCATTATCCAACATTAACCTCAAACCTCAAACTCTCACTTCAAATTTTTCAAACCAACCATTTGGACAAATCAAAATCCATTACTGCCTGTTTGGCTTGCTCAAATAATTGATTATTTGGGAGCAAACCATGGTTTCAAAAAAAATTACCCAAACAACATAATTAATTAGATAATTGATTATATAGGTAGAATAACGTTTTGTAATAAGCTGCCCTATAAAGCTTCTATGAAGCAGATAATTGATTATATAGGTAAAATGTTAATATTAATATTATTAAAATTTCTATAATTCATTAGATATATTAAATAATATATTTTACTTCTTAAATAAAGTTTAACAAATTTAGTAATATTAAATACAACTTTATCAGTAATTTAATTTTAAAAAATAATGTCCTTTATGGTAATTTTTAAGCTAAAATTGTTTCTGACTAAATTATTTAAATATTTTTAATTCTGTTAAAATTACTTTCAAAAAAATAATATTTAAATATATTGTGTTATAACATAATTAATTATAATCAAAATCAATCATATTAATAAATTATTTTTATAATTAATTATATCCAACTCAAATTCAAACAAGTTCTAAGGTAGGCCTAAGTTTGAAATTTTTAATTTCTCAATAATCAAACTAGTTAAAAATCTAACAAAATGAGGGGGAGAAGGAGAATAACAAGATAGGCCCATGAGCTTTTTTGGAGGCTTGAAATTGCTCCCAAAGGTCTGAAATCTCCAACCGAGATGCAACGTTGTTCCTCTGTTTTCCTTTCCTTACTCATAGTTCTGTTTAAAGGAGAATGATAAATAACTCTAAAAAAGATCAATTAATTTAAATTAAATTTTAAGTATAAATTTTAAAAATTTATAATTAAATCTCTCAATTTTATAATTAATTGTGATGAATTTATAACCTATTTTTTAAATTTTAACATGACTGAAAAATAAAAAAATTATTTTTTTGATAAAATTTGAAATATAAGTTGTAAATTAATCACAATACAATTACAAAATAAAAAAATTAAGTTGTAAATTTTTAAAACTTAACACTTATGATATGACTTAAGTTAATTAATTCTGTTAAGACCTCTCTCTTTTTAATCATAGAAACTAGAATTTCTTGAAACAGAGTCCGTCCGACGTCGCATGTTTCAATACATCAATGATCACAATTAACGGCCTACATTCCGAACAAATAACAAGGCAAGCGAGACTACTGCCTTAGGACTCCAAAATGTTTCCTAATGCTCCTATTATATATGTGTGCCATTAATATTTATAATGTTATATATTTAATTATATTAATTTCAGATAAAAGAGAGAAACAATATTGATTGTTCTTCAGGTTTACAAGCTTCAATCATTCTTAATATAATATTAATTTGTCCTATATCATTTTGCTCAAACTCTCTTTCACTGTTTCACTTTTTGTCTTCCCATTCTCTTATTCTAAAAAGCCTAAAGCATTATCAAACATTTGTATCAATGCTTGTATAATTTTATATCATTAAGGTGGAAACTTTAAACCTCATTATATTTTTGTTTATAATCATCAAAGGGGAAAGCACACATTAAGTTTCTCTAATAATTTTACCTTAGGCCTCAAAACTTTTTCACACGGCCTTGTTTACACCTAAAAATTGTCAAAATGACCAAAGTTTGGACAATTAAAATCTAAGATTTTACAAGGTCAATTTAAATTATTGAAATGGTAAACTTAAACAAAAATTGATTTAGTGCCCATTTGAATTTCAGTTGGGTATAATATATTATGAAAATAAATGATTAAATAGTAAATTTTAATTATAATTAATTATGTTATAACGTAATTTGTTTGGATATATTTTTTCTAAAATTAATTTTAACATAATTGAAAATGTTTGAATAATTTATTCAGAATCAATTTTAATTATGTAAATTATCAAAAAGAACATTACCTTTTAAAATTAAATTATTAATAAATTTGTATATAATATTATTAAAGTTGTTACATTTTATTTAAGAAGTAAAATATATTATTTAAATTACATATCTAATTAATTAAAAAGTTTAAATTATATTAATATTAACATTTAAATTTATGTAAATAAGTAACTCAATATATCTTAGTTAAAATAAATTTAATAACAGAAAGAATTAATTCTTAAATACCAAACATCAATTTTACAATAAGTAATGAAGATGATAATATACAAATTGATATCTAATGGCATTATGAATATAAGTTATATCTAATGAAAATGTTAAGTATTGCCATAAAATTTTAGCAACATAAAAAATGTAATAATGTGACAAATGATGCAAAATTTCTTTTTCTCTGAACCTTTGCAATAATATTTGTAATGAGTCTAAATTTCAATTTAAATTAAATTAAATTTTTTCTACCAATTAATATTTAATTTGAATTAGTTTTATAATAAGTGTTAAGTAGATGATGGTGGTTGATAGGAACTTATGTTAATAACTTTTTTAAAGATCTAAAATTTAAATTTTATTAAGAAAAAAAAGAGAAGAGAAGAAAGTTTAGTTTTATTTTTATTAAATTTGGTGTTTTTTTTTATAATTTTCTTGGGCCTTTGATTATAATTTTTCCTAATGTATTTTTATAAATTTTTTCCAGAAGCTCGAATTGCTAGCTTTCCCAAAAAAATTGATTTTAACCAAAAAAAATTGATTATTTTATTTTATGGTGTTTGAGTAATTTTCTTCTAATAATCAATTACACCTCAAAAAATCAATTGTGAAGCATAACCAAATAGGCACTCAATCAAATGCTGTGTTTATGAATGATTTAATTATGATTCAACTAAAATTTTCACGATTAATTCTTGAATTAGTGTTTTGATGAGTTTAATAATTAATTTAGTTTTTCAACACATTTTACATGTGAAAAGTGATTAAAAAAAAAACGTAGACAGCACAACAAAAAACAAAAATAGGAAAGATGGGATTAAAAAAAAAAAAAACCCCCGAAAGCAAAATACCCTGCACTGCACGATCCCCCGTTCAGCCTTTGAACTAAAAAAATAATTTCTCTTCCCATTGAAAAGAAATTCTGGGCTCTCATGCTTTGGGGCTGCTGGATAAGAAAATGCTAGTAATCCTTCGTCCCTGCAATTCTTGCTACTTTCCCGACTGTGCTGTACCTCCGAAGGCAATCGGCGTTTCAAGCAACGTATTGCTCAAGAAAGCATATCTTAAACCCTTACTAAAACCCCAAAAGTTCTCGTCTTTCGCCACTACTGGACTTTCCAATACTTTCAGCTCTCTAATTTCCCGAAAGCTTGCATTTTGGAGCACACCCGGCGTCGCCTTTTGCTCAAAAAATGGAGAATCCGATGGCTTTTCAAGTACCCAGCTGTCACAAGAGTCTGTTGGTGATATAATTCAAGAACCCGAAAAGCTTGGGTTGCTTAACAAGCCTTCCCCGCTTCCTGATAAGAATGGGTCGCCTTCAGAAGTGGATATGGAATCAGGGAAGTCAGCTAAAGATGAGGAGGAGGCTTTGGCGCCATTTATGAAGTTCTTCAAGGGAAGTGATTCTGTGGAGGAAGCAAAAGAGGAAGGAGGGGTATCAGAAGTTTCCGAGGAGAAGATTCGTGTAGGAGGCGTAAATGAAGAAACTAAGAAGATTAATGTTGAATATTATGAACCCAAACCAGGGGATTTTGTAGTAGGTGTTGTTGTTTCAGGTAATGAAAATAAGCTCGATGTTAATGTGGGGGCTAACTTTCTAGGTACGATGTTGACAAAGGAGGTGCTTCCTTTGTACGGTAAAGAAATTGAATACTTGTTATGTGATTTAAATAAGGATTCTGAGAAATTCATGGTTCCTGGGAAGATGGGGCTTGTGAAGGACGATGATGTTATAAGTGGGATACCTCCGCCAGGAAGACCTGTCGTTGAGGTTGGAACCATTTTGTTTGCTGAGGTTCTTGGTAGGACGCTTAGTGGTCGGCCATTGCTTTCTACAAGACGGCTCTTTCGCAGGATGGCTTGGCATAGAGTGATGCAGGTTCCTTCTCCTTTCATTCTTCACTTTCCCTCCCTATTAAAGAGGCTTGACACAAATATTACATGGTACAAATAAATACAACACAAAGAGATATAGCGTTTAGTATAATTTGAGAAGTGTTATAAGACCTACTACGAAATTTATGACTTTTTTTTTAATTCATAATTGCATTATAGTTTCTTACATTTAATTTAGTTAATTTGGCAACTTTCATATATAATTTGAATTTGAAGCTTTAGTTCTAATCGCTACTTTTATGGAAGAGGTTATATTCTGTCCGAGTATAGTTGACAATTTTGCATCCTGTATGTATACTGAAAATACATTCACCATGGGAATATATGTAATCTGGTAATAAGAAAATGGTATCCATGACCGTACTGATCATGAGATTTAAATATATTCTATTTTGAATTTCTTGGGCAGATAAAACAGCTCAATGAACCTATTGAGGTTAGAATTACAGAGTGGAATACTGGGGGCCTACTAACAAGGATTGAGGTCTGTATCATTGACCTGATTCTTAATACTTACATAAGACTTGAGCAAACATTTATCTCTTTGAATTTGTTGTGCAGGGTTTGCGAGCTTTCCTTCCCAAAGCAGAGCTCATGAAGAGAGTGAATAGCATTTCTGAGTTGAAAGATTATGTGAGTCAAAGCTCTGGTGCCTTCTTCAGGAAAAAAGCATATTTTCTATTTGTGGTTACCTAGTAAACTAGCTACTATTGGTGCTCTGAGTCTCTGACTATTATGTTCTTATCCAGTAAGTATACTTCTATGTTAATGATGACGTTAAAACGATTGATTGATGAAAGAAAGGAGAGAGAGATGGAAGACAGAGAGAGTGGAGAAAAGGGAAGATTTAAGAATTCTCGGATAGCATTACTCATTAAAATTATAAGTCACTTTAGCTAATTTACATCCCAATAAGTTAGTTAATGGTTTTTAAAATTGCATATTTTTCTCATGTTTACCCCTATTTAATAGAGTGTCTTAATTAGAAAAATCTTATTAATTACACCTTGAAATGCCAAAATTATCTTATATTTTTTAACATGAGAATTCAAAAAAAGTGTCTTATAATTTAAACGGAGGGAGTATTTTTTGGTCTAAATGTTATATGTAAAGTGTTGTATTTCAGTTTGTTTGAATATTAAAGCTTTGGTACAGCTACTACAGCCCCCAATAATAGTCTTGAGCAATTAACAAGATTGTTAGGGTTTTTAAATAGCATGAATCTCTTTTTTATTTTAAGAATTGAAATTTCCAATGATGTACACCCTTTATTTTTCCATTAATCCTGAAACCTGCCATTTGTGCAAACTGCCTGGCTGCTGTGTATATTCTTAGTTCTGCTGTTTAGAAAGTGCATCACTTGAGGGACTCCTGAACCTCAATGAAGATATATTGTAGAAAATAATCCTCCATATCTTGCCTTCATAGTTGTTACCGAGTTAAAACTATTAATGATACAGGTGGGACACCAAATGTCTGTACAAATAAGTCGTGTTGATGAAGCTACAAACAACTTGATACTCAATGAACGGGAAGCTTGGGTCTGTATTTATTTACTTTCTTAAAAATTTTATTCTTTCATTTTTGTAGTATCTGTATTTTAATCTTTATTTCTTCATTTAATTCTTGCCAAACTCATGTCACATGGTATATCAGGAAAAGCTATATCTTCGGGAGGGAACACTTCTAGATGGGACTGTGAAGAAGATATTTCCATATGGAGCCCAAGTAAGAATAGGAGAAACTAACAGGAGGTGAGTAGTAGCCCAGATATGGAAAATAAATTTAGCATGCCCTTTTTTCCCTTTTGATCTGCTTGGAATGTTATAACTATATTGAATGAGAATCAAGAGGGTGCAACCCTTGTATGAGAGGGAAAATTCCATCTCAGAGTATGGTTGAATATTACCAACTTCCCTTGGTTTTCCCACTTGTGAAAGAAATTTAAACTTATCAGGTGTAGTTATCAAAGATATAATGATAGAACAGATGAAAACTAGTGATGCTGCCATAATAATGTTCATGCATTTTTCTAGCTTATACCCGCTTGTGATTTGTCTTTATATATGACTGGATCGCACAATGCTCAACTATGAGTTGACTGATCACTGCATTACAATCATTTGATGGATTGTCACTGTGATTTGTTTTTTGGGGTGAAAGATTACCATTGTGATTTAAGTTCACTCACAACCAATGTTTGTGGTTGACACTCTCTAGGGCTACAAGACACTGACTAACTACGCAAAAACATCACAGAGAAATCCAAGATGCTTCTGATCAATGATTTAGAAACCACAATTTCTAGGATTGTCCTTAGATGAGAACTTATGTGAAAAGTGACTATTAAGAGAATTTTCCATAACTGAATTATTGGTTTGTGGGCATTTAAGGTATACATCTGATGTAAAACTCTGGGGAAACTGGAAAGGCATTTCCCTCCCATAATACATCCTGCTGGGATTGTGAACCTTGGAGGTTCATATTCAAGAACCTAATGCCAAGCTTCCTTAGATAGATAGTATTGCTGCTTTTATTGTCAAAGGATTCTTCTTACTCTGGTCTGCGGAGGTTTCACTTGATAGTATTTGCTCTTCTAAGATCTACATGTACAAGCATCTCCTGATTAATATCCCTTACTGCTGCGGACTAGATTTTGCTTCATTGAGAACCCAATTAATGCATCTTTCTTGAAAAATTTGAACTAACCATAAATTCAACAGTTTTGTAAATGCAAGCTGAGCAGGCAATCTGATGAAAAAGCATGTTGCAAAACCAAAAAAGAAGAAAAACGATTAGAGCTGACTGGCAAAATTGAAGTTTTAGTTATGTATTTTTCGCTGTATAGAATCTATAGTCATTCTTTGTTACTAGTGGCTGTCAGTTCTGCGTTGCATTTGAATATATATTTAAAAAATACTTGGAACTCTGAAACTAATGTATTTCTTCCTTGAGATTACTTTTTTCCTTATAATTTATGAATACAAGCTGTAGGTGTAAGCATTTCCTCAGCCATATGCGTTGTTTTGGTGAGAAAATAATTTCTTGCTTTTAATCCAGATATAGCAGTGACTACACTTTATTCACTGGTTTCCAATCACGCTGCATACAATTGTATTCTCTTAATAATTTATTGAGGTGATAAAATTCATTAAGATGCTTAGATTTTTGTTATTTGAAGTTCTCATTATCTTTCTGGTCAACTGTTTTTCTCTACATCGTATTCCATGGCTTATTAAACTCCGCCTATGTTTATAGCCGGTCCCAAGCCCGGGTAAAGGAGGAGGGTTGTGTTAGGCCATCAACAGCCAATGTAAAAATTTGTTGAATCTATCATGAACATGGACAATAGACGTTATAATGTTAATGCTAGGTCGTTGCCCGTAAGTAACGCGCTGCATGGCTCGAGTACAGTGATAAGTGAGTTAGAGCCGCTGCATCGGCGCCCGGATGTAGTGTTAAATGAGCAAGGGCTACCGCGTCATTCTGGACGCACGCGGCTAAAGAAGTTAGTCCATAAGAGCAAAATTAGATTTGGTACTTGGAATGTTGGGACATTAAATTGTAAATCTGTAGAGGTTGTAGGGGTTATGATTCAAAGGAAAATCAATATCATTTGCTTGCAAGAAACAAAATGGCGTGGAGAAGAAGCTAAGGATATTCAAGGTTTCAAACTTTGGTATACAGGAAAAGTAAGTGCACGCAATGGAGTAGGCATCATTATAGATAAGGAGTGGAAGAAGAACGTTGTAGCAGTTAGCAGAATTGGAGATAGAATTATTTCTTTAAAAATGATAATTGGACGTGAGACTGTTAATATTATTAGCGCTTATGCGCCGCAAGTCGGGACAGAAGCCAGTCTTAAGGAATTATTTTGGGAGGATCTAGAGGGGTTGATTCGACACATACCACAGAGTGAAAAGATTTTTATTGGAGGAGACTTTAATGGGCATGTCGGGAGGGAAGCTGGTCAGTATGCGAGGGTGCATGGTGGTTTTGGTTTTGGAGAGCTAAACAATGAAGGACAAACTCTTCTTGATTTCTCATTGGCGTATGATTTTAAGATTGCCAACACTTGTTTCAAGAAGAGAGATGAGCATCTCATCACTTACAAAAGTGGAGCCTCAAGGTCGCAGATTGATTTTCTTTTGGTTAGGAACACAGATAGAAAACTTTGTAAAAATTGTAAGGTGATACCCGGAGATGCTGTAACGACACAACATAGGGTCCTAGTCCTTGATGTGTGTATTATGAGTAAAATCCAAAAACGTCGACAAGTAGTAACACCAAGGATTAGATGGTGGCAATTAAAAGGTGAGAAGCAAGATATTTTCAAGCGAAATCTTTTGGATAAAGGAATTTGGGATTCTCAGGGAAGTGCTAACATTATATGGGAGGATATGGCTAAAAAGATACGGGAGGTTGCAAAAGTAGTTTTGGGAGAATCGAAAGGTTCTGGTCCGAGAGATAAGGAGTCTTGGTGGTGGAATAATAGTGTACAGGACAAAATCAAGTATAAGAAGAACTGTTTTAAAGCCATACATTTGTGTAACAATGAGGAAAATTGGGAGAGGTACCGTATGGCTAAGAAGGAAACTAAGAGAGCTGTGGGTGAAGCTCGTTCTAAAGCTTTTGAAGAATTTTATAAGAACCTTGAGACGAAGGAAGGAGAGCAAAATATTTATAAGATTGCCAAGAGTAGGGAAAGAAAATCAAGAGATCTAGAACAGGTAAGGTGTATTAAGGATGAAGAGGGAAGAATTTTAGTTACAGATGATGAAATTAAAAATAGATGGGAGACTTATTTTTCTAAACTTTTCAATGATGGAGAGGATTCATCTAGTAACTTGGAGGATTTAGTAACTGGTGAAGGAGAACAAAATTTGTCATTCTATCGAAAAATACGTGATAAGGAGGTAAAGGAAGCTCTTAAGAAAATGGCAAATGGTAGAGCCAACGGACCTGATTGTATATCTATCGAAGCGTGGAAATGTTTAGGTGAAGAAGGGGTGAGATGGTTAACTAAGTTATTTAATGTGATTTTACGGTCCAAGAAAATGCCTGATGAGTGGAGGAGAAGTACATTAATTCCTATTTATAAAAATAAAGGAGATATTCAGAATTGTACTAACTATAGAGGGATTAAACTCATGAGCCACACAATGAAATTGTGGGAGAAAGTAATTGAGCACAGGTTGAGATTGGAGACAAGTATTTCTGAGAATCAATTTGGTTTTATGCCAGGTAGATCAACTACAGAGGCGATTTATCTACTAAGGGGATTAATGGAAAAGTATCGTTGTAAAGATAAAGATCTACACATGGTTTTTATTGATTTGGAAAAAGCTTATGACCGTATACCAAGAGAAGTGCTTTGGAAAGCGTTGGAAAAAAAGGGAGTACGGATTGCTTATATTAAAGCCATACAAGATATGTATGAGGGGGTAAAAACTAGTATAAGAACGCCTAGTGGTCAAACAAAGGATTTTCCTATAAAGATTGGACTACATCAGGGATCATCTCTGAGTCCTTATTTGTTTAACTTGATTTTAAATGTTTTGACGGAACATATTCAAGAGGAAATCCCGAAATGTATGCTCTTCGCGGATGATATAGTTCTTATAGCAGAGACAAGAGAAGAGGTTAATTGCAAACTTGAGTTATGGAGGAGGACATTGGAGTCGAAAGGTTTTCGTCTGAGTAGAAGTAAGACGGAATATTTATATTGTAAATTTGGTAAAGGACTATTCGAAAATAATTTGGAAGTGAAATTGGGAGATCAAATTATACCTCAAGTGGAAAAGTTTAGATATTTGGGAGCCATTATTCAAAATGATGGCGAAATCAGTGGAGATATTTCACATAGAATTCAAGCTGGGTGGTTTAATTGGAGAAAAGCTAAAGGAGTTATTTGTGACCGTAAGGTGCCTAATAAACTTAAAGGAAAGTTTTATCGTACTGCTATCAGACCGGCAATGTTATATAGTAGTGAATGCTGGGCTCTAACGGGACAGCAAGAGCATAAAGTTGGAGTAGCAGAGATGAGAATGTTACGATGGATGTGCGGACATACACGTAAAGATAAAATTCGAAATGAGCACATACGCGAAAAAGTGAGGGTGGCACCTATTGAGGAAAAAATGGTAGAAAATCGGTTGAGATGGTTTGGGCATGTACAAAGAAGACCAAGGGAGGCACCAGTGAGAAGAGTGGAACATATAACTTTGAGTCCGATTAAGAGAGGTAGAGGAAGGCCTAAGAGAACACTCTTGGAAGTTGTTGAACGTGATCTCTTAATTAATAATATTTCTAAAAGCTTAATAAATGATAGAGCACAATGGCGTCTTGCAATCCATGTAGCCGACCCCACCTAGTGGGATAAAGGCTTGTTGTTGTTGTTGTTGTTGTATTCCATGGCTTATTAGACCCTTGTGATTATTAATTAGAAGTTTTTATTTCTTATTATTGCTTTTTTAGGGTAGGGACCCAAAGGTCATTTCCTTTCATTAAAAATTACTTTTTTCATTTCATTTTACATTCTATTCATTTCTATTCTGTGTGCCAAACAGTTGAAGATTTATGAATACATTTAGGTGCAAAGATTTCCTCAACATCTACATTGTTCTAACAATACACTTTATTGGGGGCTACTATTTAGTAATAGGTTTCATTCACGCTGCATGCAACTTTTGCACTCCTAGTAAATTATTGAAGTGATGATATTCTATAAGGTGCATGGATATATGTTACCACAAGAATTTCTCATTTCCCTGTGTCAACTGTTTTCCTCATACACCACATCCTCTTCACTGGTCAATCTAGTGAAAATAATTGTATGATCTGGCATGGCATCTTTGTTGCAATATTGTTGTGACTCTGCTGTACCTTGTCCTTCTTCATCACCCGAAGATTTTACATTGAGATCAAATCTACTGAAATATATCCTCTTGGCATTTATGAAGAACCTTTTGTGTGCCTTTCAGCGGGTTGCTGCATGTTTCAAATATCACTCGAGCTGAAGTTACTGCCGTCAGTGACATACTTTCTGTAGATGAGAAGGTTAAAGTTTTGGTGGTGAAATCATTGTTTCCTGATAAAATTTCTTTAAGGTAATGAATTACACTCTGAATTCCTACTACAATTGTTCAAAGTATTGAGTCACTGTTAACCATAGAGCCAGTTGGTAAAACTGAATCAGTCTTCCATGCTAATTAATACTCTTGCTCCTCCCCTCCAACTGTACTTCTATTCCATGCAGGATAACTCTAAGCAACAAACATCATAATGGGAAAGGTGATACAAATGATAACATAGTGCAAGAATAAAGTAACATATTTCCTCTTAGGTAGTGTTTGGATTGGTAGATTTAGATTTGAATTTTAGATTTCAAATTTCACATTTCAAATCTCATTTATAATTCATGTTTTTAGAATAATTTGAATGGATAGTTTAAAAAATTTTAAATGAAGAAAAGAGATGAATTGGGATTTGAAATGAAAACAAAAAATTGAAAATGATGAGTTTACCTCTATTTTTCAGTCAATAGAAGATGGGAACAAGAAATAAGAAAAGATATGAGAGTCATAGAGGCATCAATAGTAGAAATACAAAGGAAACGAGAGGTTTGAAGTGACTAGAATTTCAAGTGACTAAGATGTACAGGGAATTTGAAATTACAAATGAAATATATTAAGAAATGGATTTGAATTTGAATCAAATCCAAATCTCCCCTAATCCAAACACACTATTAGAGTATTTTTGTGGTTGGAGAATCGCCATTCTTGAAAATTCATCATGATATACACTGAATGCCGTTAGATTCTACTAGAGAGCGCACAACATCGTGTGGAATGCTCATCATGCTACATGTTTAATTGATTTTTATTATTGGATCTTACTATATAGGGCTTCTATCATATTGTACTTTACTGCTATAAGTTGCTTATATTGTAAATCTCTTTGTGGCGTGAAGCATTGCAGACCTTGAAAGTGAACCTGGCCTATTTCTATCAAACAAAGAGGTAATTTTAATTTATCTTAGGGAAAAAAAAAACTTTCTTTTTGGTCAAAAGATGATGTTCTCATCAATTCAACAATACTCCGTTTATTTTTTGTATTGCTGTAGTGCCTGGGTATGGTTTTATTCCAAGCTCAGAGAACTTAGATCCTCAAAAAACTGCATAATATCCATTTAGCACCTCTACAGAAAGGGTGAAATTTGAGTGAAATTATACTTTCTGGGCACTAAAGTGAAAAACATCAATTTGTCATGTTGACAAGCACACCTCTGATGACCAAAATAAGGGTTTTTTTTTTAATCATTTTATTTCTTTCATTGATATGGTTGGAATAGTCTCTTCAATCTTGAATTGGGCTTGAGATGCTCATTTCTCTTATTCCAGAGAGTGTTTGAAGAAGCTAAAATGATGGCAAAGAAGTACAAGGAAAAGCTGCCTCCTTCTGTGACTCGTCAACGGTCAGATCCTCCACCAACAAGTTCCCTGCCTTTTGAAAATGAAACACTTTATGCAAACTGGCACTGGTTTCAATTTGAAAAGGAATGATTACACCAGGTTGATCCTTAGGGCATGTTTGGATTAAAGATAATGGAGAAAAAGGAAATGGGAGGGAGATTTTAATTTAGACATTTTCTTTCTCTTCTACTCCTTACCCTTTATCTTATCCTTACATCACTCATCTCAATCCAAACACATCTTCAAGCTCAAAACTATCTTCCAATGGAATCTGAGAAGAGAGGACTTGACATGAGGAACACACTCTTATGGAAAAGCTTTTGATGAGGCCATTGTTCTCCTAATGGATCAAAGTTACTTTGCCATGCATCATCACATTCACATAGAGAGCTCAAGCCTCCTTATTCCTTAACATGTGGTGAAAGGATGAGTGTTTCTGGTTTGGCTTTCCTTTCACCCCCCGGTATCGGCTGCTTTGTTTCTGGCTAGACTCTGTAAATCTTGATGTAAATTATGATTAGACATCGGACTTTACCCTAAAATTGTAATCCTGTTATCATGAGTTACATCTTGTTTTTGTAGGATGAAACCCTAGTTTATTGATCTGGATTGTGTAATTCTATACCCTTGAGTTTTAGTTTACATGCCTTTGCCTGAATATGGAATAAAGGAAGATGTGAAAAATGATAATGGAAGTGAGTCAGATCAAATCACATGGTGGTATCAGTTCTCTAATTTGCTCAATAGTTGTTTCCAAAATTTCTATTACTGGAAACAGTTCTTGGACATTAACTGCTACATTTTTGTTTACGCTTCTTGTTAAAAGGTTGAATTGGAACTAGCAGATGTTGGTTTTAGAGGAAGGGGTTATGATTGCTTAAACATGAGATTTCAGATTCAAGTCTGTATGAATAGAGCAAAACACCTTTGGGAGAAATATTCCCTATTACGTCTAACAATATTCGAGAAATTGAAACTAGGAGAAAGAAGACAATAAACAAGCAAAGGTTAAAGTACAACATTTGGTGATTTAACATTCCCAGTGAGATATCTAAGGTGGGTTAAACTTGGTCATGCCATCTCTCTCCTACTCACTAGCTAAACAGAGAATTAAATAATCCCAAGGCAAGTTAGTGAGATATGTGGCAATAAGAAGATAACTGGGTAATCTGGATCTCAAACATGAGGTGGGTAGAGTTTTTAACCAAGCCAATTCCTTAGGATTTTACTTGTTGATTATACTTATTGGGATATCTGGAGCTTTAGATGTAGGAAAGCTTTTTCGTTGGATAGGATCATAGATTTCAATCTTGCAAAAGGTTAAATTTGATTTGTACATGCTGCAGCATTTCTATACGCTGTCACAACTGGTCCGAAGAAATCAAGTTATTTGGACTATACATGATCAGAACGACTTGCAGCCGGGGAAAACAGGCCGGGCTTGAGGTTTGGGTATGCAAATGTTTAAATGGCTTGGTCCCCTAGGGTTTGAACCGGCCCATTTAAGCCTTTATATATATATATATATATATAATATTATACTTATATAGGAAATATTAATATTTAATAAATGAGGAGGGGGAGAATCCAACGATGAAAAAGAGTAAAAATTTTAAAAAAGAAAAAGAAAACCCTAGCCTAAACAAAAAAAAAAAAGAAGAAAATCTTGATAATTTTTTCACTAAAAAGCTAACCCAAAATGAAACAATCAAATATTATTGATATTAAAGATGATAGTGATGGAGATAATAATGCATGATGATGCTAATTTTTGGGTATTATTGTTTCATTAACATGAACAATGATTTGGTATTTTAATTAATTAATATTAAATTATTTGTGATTCAATTATTTTTATTTTCGTGAATTTATTTTACAGAACTTTTCTTGAAACCAATTAAATTTTATATATAGGGAAGGAACTTTCTCCCTAAATTTTATACATAGAGAGGATAATTGTTGGGCTCATTCTCTAAATAGGAATGCTCTTGACATAGTATGTAATTTGTGCGTCTTTAATCAATTATCACTGTAATGTGAAAAGGTGGATGATGAGAAGTTATGAAGCACTGATACTTTAAATTACTTCATGTATTCATATCAATATCATATCTAATATTGATATTTACCAATGCTTCTTCAATTTGTATTCATAAAGTATCAAAATAATATTTTTTTTAATTTTAAAAAAGTTTAATTTTTGATACAGATCTGATACTTTTAAATTGTTAATCGATATTTGAAAAATAAATTTTTTTTAAAAAATTAAATTTATTAAAACTTGCAATATTAAACTTTTTATTACTAATATTATTTTTTTGATTCGCTTGTAAAGTCAAAGATAAGATTTTTTTAAAAAAAATAAGTTTTGGATGTAATAAAAGAATAAATATTATATTTGTCTTAATTATAAAAACATTGAAGTGTAATCTTATGATGGTCGAGAAGGAAAAGATATTTATACTATACTTATTAGTAAGGACTAGGTGGTAGGCAAGTAGGTATAAATAAAATAAAACTATAATTAATGATTATATTTTACTTGATATTATTATAAAAAAACAATATATGTATGATAATTTAAATATTTTTTAAATTAAAATTATGTTTTTAATATTTTTATAAATATATATACATGTATAAGAAACGTGTAGTATCTTATAATTTTAAAAATTAAAGTTTCGACATATTGGATATGCATCTTATTCAATATTTATATCGGTATCCGTGCAACTTGGATGAGAAGTTAAGATTTTGATATGTGTTGTGATTGATATAGTCGTTTTAAACTTTAATGTTACTCCCTTTTCATACAATGAAGGCCAATTATGCTTTCAGCGAAGGTCTCTTTCCTTCAATGGTGAAAAAGAGAGATGCTTCAGGGATTTGGCAAGGTATTATTGAAGTATGGGACACATATTTAGATATACAAATAATAATAGAATATCATGAAATTGGGTAATTATTCTAAAGTTTTTACTTTTAAAAAACTCATCTGACATTATTTTTATGAAATCACGCTTATGACCTTCTATAAAATTATAAAAAACATAGTTGTTAAAACCAGAACTGAAGTTGTTAATAACAAATATAAAGTTGTTAATATAAAAATAATAGTTAATTTAGTTATTTAGTTTTTTTTTTAATGAAAAAGGGGCATAGCCAAAAGAAATTTATTAACAAGAAATAGAACAAGAGGGATTTATTCCCACCATGTCTCGAAACATCCGTCGAAGGAGCTTGTTGATGAGAGAGTTATTTAGTTTTTAACCGAAAAAAAATAACATAATTTGAAAAAGAAAATATAATTCTTCAATACATTATAATTCTTTAATCTAAAAATGGTAAAAAGAAAAGGAATTCATCATTAAATTACATGCACAATGCCGGATCACATAAAATTAATGTTAATTTATTTAACATCTCAATGGTTTTTTTTTAAAAAAAGAATTAGTTCGTAGTTGCATAAAATGGAAAATCAAATTTATTAAATGCTCCTAATAAATACGCATAAATGTTTAACATTGACCAAGAATCCTTTCATAAATTTTACTCACTCGTTTCAAATTATAAGATATTTTTTAAAGAGATTTGATATATTAAAATGTCTTATATTTTGAGAATATTAAAGTTTTATTAAATAGACTTATTTTAATATTATTATTTCTCTCTTTCTATTTAATTTCTGTCCCTCTCTCTTTTCAATCTATAATGAAGGGTAGCTTTGGAACTTGAAATTTTATATTTTTATTTTAAAAAATTAAGATTGTTAAATATATTTAATAAAATTTATTGATATGTAAAATTTTATTTTAAAAGTATATTATAATTTAAGATGAAAAGAGTAATGTGTTTTGCAATACAACTGATTAATGTGTTCGAATGTGCAAAAGAGATTCAATGTAAGTAACTTCAAATTCAGAATGTGGGAAGGTTTTAGGGATCCATTCATAACTGAAAAACACAATTCTCATATTGAATGCTCCTAATAATAAATACCCATCAACGAATAGCATTGACTCGAGATACCTTTATAAATTCTAAAGTTATTTTGAACCAAGCCATTATTAATAATTATAATTGTCCAAAAGAGGTTCAATTAATTTATCTAATTTCAGGTTCACAATGTGAGATCCTTTTTATATACAAAGGACAAATCTTAAAAAGAACAATTGTGCTCCACAAAAACTTGTTTCCTCAAGCATGATCAGGACAAGAGAGCCTAAACATGAGATTATATCAGTGTTGGCTTTAAAAAGAAGAGGATACATCATAAAGAACATCAAGAAGATGATGATGGAGGCATCTGGCAAAGAAGTTGAAGTCTCTGTTCCAGCTCCTTCGGTATCAAAGGAATTGTTGTGAGCTTTCATTGTCAATGAAAATTTGACGGACCAAATTCTAAAGTTTGTCAAGGTCCTCGCCATATGCTGTAGATTGTTCCATCAACTTTTCATTTTCTATATTGATGAACAATCCTTAAGATGTTACTTCAACTTGTGAAGCATTGATACTTCAACTTGTTCGATATATGACATGCCTGGGTCCTTTTTCCTTACATGCTGGAAAAGTATCAAAAATATTTTCTTAAAAAATAAAAAAAAATAATCTTCAATACATCTCCAATGCTTCAAAGTCAAGGGTAATTCTTGTAACCGATTTTTCTTAAAAATTAAAATAAATTCTAGTATATGATACATCTACTTATAAATAAATATTATATTATAAGCTAAAGTATATTTTTAGCTATCTAACTTTATATAAAATTTTAATTTAGTTGTTTAATTTTATAAAGTATCTTTTTAGTTCTTTAACCCTAATATTGTTAGTTTTAAATGATTATTTTTTGTGTCAATTATTGTTATTTTGAAAAAAAAATTAAACTTAATATGTTAACATATGAGAATGCTTTATCAATATTTAAAAGTATAATATAAAAATTTGTTAGGATAAAACTAATAATGTTAGAGTTAAAGGACTAAAAAGATATTTTATAAAATTAAGGGACTAAAATAAAATATTGTGTAAAGTTAAAGAACTAAATATATACTTTAGCCTTATATTATATGAGTTTTTAGGAAAAATTAATCATTTATTTCTTATAGTTTTGATTTAGTTGTAACTCAGTCCTTGAACTTTGACTCATTATAACTCAATCTATAAAGTTTTGATTTGATTGTAAATCAGTTCTTGAACTTTATTTCTTGTAATTTAGTCCTTGAAATTTTAACATCTTAAATATTGATCCCTATATTTTAAAAAATAAAATTATGAAGATTCAAAATATTTTAATATTTATTACTAGTATTTTAAATTATTAAACCCTTTTAATCTTTATAAATATTATAAATATTAAAACTTTAAAATATTTTTAATCTTTATAATTTTATTTTTTAAAATATATGGATTAATATTTAAGAAGTTAAAACTTCAGGGACTAAATTGTAAGAGGCAAAATTTAAGGACTCATTTATAATCAAGTCAAAATTTCAAAAACTGAGTTATAATGAGTCAAAGTTGATAATTTGAGTTACAATTAGGTTAGAATTATAAGGATCAAATGAGTAGCTTTTCTTAATTTTTATATATGTAGCAATATTTACTCATCAATAAAAGAAATAAGTTTATATCCATATCAATTTGTGACTTTTGATTAGGAAAAGGGAAAAATGCAGCTAAGGAGATACGCGAGAGGTAAGACATTGCAGGG